TATAGATAAAACTTTAAAATACTAAAACATCAAATTAAATAATAAAGATTACTGTTTAACCTATTTGAAAAATTGGTAATGGAAAATCAATTATTTAATATCTGTCAAGAGCTTGAAAAATCCTCTAATACTTTAACCACAATTGATTTTCAACAGTGTTATTTAAAGAAAGGCTAAGTATACAGATTGGAAATTTTTTAAAGAATTGTTGCAGAATAGAATCAATGAATCTATGTGGAAATAGGAACATGGTATTGGATTATTGAATATTTGTGATGGATTAAAAATGTCTTCAAATTCTTTAAAGAAACTTGATCTACAGAACTGTAATTTAAATGAAAAGCAAAGTGAAAAGATTGGATATTTACTTAAACACTGCTCCATATTAGAAACAATAAAGATATCAAGGAATGAGCTTAGAGGTAAAAAGATATTAAATATTTGCAAAGGGCTGAAAATGTCATCAAATACACTGAAAAATCTGGAATTTATATTGTGTTTTTTGAAAGAAGAACAAAGTAGAGAGATTGGAAACTTGTTACAAAATTGTTGTAGAATAGAGACAATAAATCTATCTTGGAATCAGAAAATTGGTAATGGAATATTTCATATTTGTGAAGGGCTGAAAATGTCATCAAGTACCTTAAAGAATCTCGATTTAGAAAGGTGTGATTTAAATGAAGAACAAGCTACAGAGGTTGGACTTTTACTAAAGCATTGCTGTAGATTAGAAACAATAAATCTATCTTGGAATAGAGAGATGGGTAATGGAATATTAAATATTTTTGAAGGACTTCAAATGTCATCAAATACTTTGAAGTGTTTTTATTTAGTCCATTGTGATCTAAATGAGGAACAAAGAACAGCAATTGGAGATCTGTTACAATATTTTCCCAAAATAGAAGTAAATCAACAGCAATAGATTACAAATGTATCTAGGTTTTACCTTATGTAAGGCAATTAGCAATGGCTTAATTTGCATTTTGTTTATATATGGGCTCCACTTTTTGTAAAAACAATCTTTCAAAAGAAAAAAAAATCTATGATATGGTTTTGATATTAAGAGGAATTCTTTTATTGAAGAGCTCATGATCTTAATCTTTTCTCATCAACTCTCAAATCTAAATCTCCTATGAAGTACTTTTACAAATAACCCTAACCCTGAGGCTAGATTTTGGATTGAAATATAGTCAGGAAGAAGAAGACAGCAACTAATTCCTACATGGGAGGGTCTCCCCTTAAGGTTAGGGCTATTGGAAAAGGTTAGGTATAGTCAAGCTCTGGGTTAGGGCTAGGGTAAAAGCAGCAATTTATGGACGTTTTCTGTCGCATCCTAAAGCTATCTGTTTTGTTGATAACATACTTTTTTTAAATCTTGCTAAGGTGCTAAATGAAGGAAGGAAAAGAGTTTAGATGATGAAATTATACAGAATGACAGTTTTTCTGTTTGAGTAAAACCCACTCCCTACCACTTTTAGGCCTTTTCTTACCACAATTCACTTCATCATCACCAAGTGGACAGTGTTTCAATTCATCACAAACAAATTTGATGTCAATGCAATATGATATGTTTTACATCTGTATTGACAAAATAAACATTTCTTATGAATATTACAATTTACATGTTTTCCCTTATGTTTTGAAGAAAAGAATATTAATCTTTCCATACTGTCGTATTTTATCTCACATAATTCACTAAAAAAAATCATTTTTACTAATACTCTTTACCAGGTTTCTCCTACTATTACGTAACATATGAACACTCATTTATTAATTGTTTTTCAATTTCCTATCATAACAGATGTTCATTTGGGAATATTGAATAAATCCATAGAAAATGCATTGCGAAATACCATCGCATACCGACCTACTTGGAATTCAATATCCATATTTACCCAAAAGATTTGAGAATGAAAAAGAGAAAAAAGAATGTTCTTGTGGGGGTTAATACCATTTTAAGGTATGTTTTCTTGACTCATAATCATTCCTATCCCAGGAATCAATGATAGTCTTTTTATTAATTGGAATTGCAGTTTTACAGTATGCTAAATAATTTCTTTGTGTACAAGATGAACAGCAATTTCTGTAAACCTAACCCTAATGTACTTTGTATTTGATACTAAAATAAACGAATGGCTTCAATTCGAATCTTCTACTTTTAAAATTAAAATCTAAGAGCTTCAACTCTATTCTTGGCAAAAATCCAAAAACTCTTTGGAACAAAATCAATAAGATCTAATTAATTTACTTTTGAAAGAGATTGTAAATTGAATCCTTATGTATTCATCTCATTTTTAAATGGAATATTAGTTTACAGTTTGTGTCATTGCTCCTAATTCCATTTCCATTCGTTAGGGTATATTCTATAATATTACTGGTTTCCTCTAAAGGTACGCAAGTGGAAGGATGTCCATCAAGCGTTGCGTAATAAGCGTTACTTTGGCATTGTGTATTAGAACTTTTCACCTTTCTTCCTTCTATAAAAGAATGGCGAATACACTTTAATTAATAAATTAATTAAAGTATATTATCCCTACCTGTATCAGTTATCGCAAAGTGATTAATCTTATTGGTTAAGCCGTTCTTAATAAGTATTTGCCTTATGTCTAGTGTAATGGCCGTTCGAATGCTAGCCAATATAAATGATCCGTAACCTTTACCCATACCAATTGTTATAAGCGTTTCTGATAATTCAATCCAAAAGTGAGTCCAATCGGTGCAAGATATCAGTGTCACAGAGTTGCTTAGAACTTTACTTAAAATTGCAGGACTCGTTACGCTTATTGATGAAATTCTCTTATTGCCAATAACCTCGTCAAGCCGAATTGTTAATATAATTGACGTTTCATTTTTTAGGCTAATTACCATCGACGAGCAATCATTCGGTTGACCTTGATCTTGACCTTTAACCTTAAACCTCATAGCTCTAAAATTTAAAACCCTAATGAATATTCATACCTTTTGTAAAGACATTGACGTATTGAAATCCAACAGTTTCGTCAATGTAAACGTCTTTTATAACAAGATTTAAACCCGATTCTATATCAGGAGTATTTGTATATTTGAAACAATACATTTTAAAGCCAGCAACATCGGATAGGTTTACTACCTGAGTGAAACCAGAACTCCATTCGACCTTGACACTTGCTATCCTTTCATCAAAGTTGAGCCTGTTTATAAACAAAGTTGAATGGAAATGTCAAGTAAAGGAAATAGCATAAGACCCGTGTGATAAACATAAGAATTCCGTCCCCGTCTTCGACCAGAATACAAGTTAACCTACTCAATGAAATTGCTGTAGTATTGCAGTATTCCAAAAGAAATAGAAGGAAGGCGAAAGTTTTGTCATAATTTTCATTGCAGTTCGCTTCTTTTCCATTTGCAGGAGAATCTTTACATTTTTTTTTGGAAAGAAGTCTTTATAAAGTTTTCTACAGCAATCGATTGTTGCCATGGTTATTACCACTTTTAAAGCTAAGGCTATGAAAATAATTTTTCTAAATGATATTAATTAATAATCATCTTATCGTTATTGCAATTCAAAACTTATTTACATTGGTTTCGTTATAAGAAATGTCATATGATCTCTCTTGAATTCACCTTAAGAAAAGAGCACAATCATCAATTTCCATTAAGTATCAATAGAGAAAAAAATCAATGAATAACAGACTAATTAAGAGTGTAAATACTATTACAAAAGTCCCGCCAACTCATTTCTTTTTAAGTAAACAATAAAGAGAAAACAGCACTAAACCTTTTTGACCTGATTTTCGCTGACCTTTGTGACCTCTTAAGCCTTAACCTAATTTTCAACAGCAATGCCTTTATCGCAAATCTACTAAAGCTGCTAAAAGTAATATTTCATTTATCCCTGTTTGAATGTATTATCCTTAATAATTCATACATTAAATTAGTAAAATTGGCTTTGTCAGCACTTTTTGAATTCTATAAAATAAATCCTTTTTGAAAAGTTTCAATGTTGTTGTACAACTTTGGTTATATTTTACATGGTTGAACTGTATTATTTGATGCAACTTATACATGTCCATCTTAAAACCTACGCAAGAAAATGCTATAACATTGGGCAAACATAAGTCTGATTAGTCAGCTTCAAGGCTCATCTTTAATCACCAATAAAGGTTTGGCCAAGTTATAATTTAATTAACTTGCCTAGGGTGTGGCCAAGTTATAATTCAATTAACCTTCCTAAATCTTCAACCTTGTAACATCCTGTTACTAAACATAAATATGAACTACACATTTCAGCAACTGTAAAGTGATGATTGGATGTTAGAGGCAAACCTCAGAGTAAATAAATCCTCACTATTCTCATTCTGCATGCGGCTTCCATCTGGATCCAAGGACCTGGGAAGATAACCTGGAAACAACCTCCACTGGAACCATCCATCTACTCCTCAACATTGGAAGACAGTTTGGTAATTTGGCAACCTGCTTTTACAAACTATCTACTCTGCTATTGAACTCTCATATTGTTACTTGCTTAAGTATTATCATTGCGAATAAACCATTTTAATTTAAACATTTGCTTAAAGGTTCGAGTAGAACCAGTATTGTTATAACTTGCAAACGCATAGGTTTTGCCAGCAAGAGCAGTACAAATTTGGCACAGTCGACAGGATAATATTTTGGTTTATTCAAAAATCTGGAGAAAGTAAATATGGCAGAAGGAGGAAATGGAAATGCCACTGGGGCAGTTACAGACTCTAACCCTTCAACCCCACCAACTCCAACAATTGCAATTCAGCCAGCAGAAATGTCAGAAAGGCAACAAAGACTAATTGAAGACTATGATAGATTGGTGAGTGAAATGAAAAGAAATCGAATCACAATTCCAACAGATCATGGAGATGGAACACATCACGCAGCACAGAACCCAAATGTTGATATCACAACAGTAATTCAAGCATTAAGGGCTGCTTGGACCGCCCTCAAAGAACTATTCTCAAGTTGCATGATGGAAGCAAGGAGTGTTCAAAATTCAAGAAGACTTTAATCAGGCATGTGATGCTTATGGTTGGATGGTGAAGATGTTGTGAAACAAGTCTTTTAGATTATTTAACTGGCCCTGCAAAGGATTTGGTGTTGGCTCTGGATGGAGAGCCTACTGTAGAGGAAATATGAAAAGCCCTCCATGACGAATTTGATCTGGATCCCTTGGAGTATCAAGAGAAATTGCTTAACTTAAAGCAAATGAATGGCGAAAGTGTGGTTCAGTTTGTTAATAGAGCAGTACATTGTAAATATTAAAATATTGTTGTTGGATATTCAACCTTCTATACAGTAAATCAAGTTTGTATAAACATCTTGAAGCGTCATTTAACAATTAACTTTACTCAGCACTTTAATTTTCTGTCTCTAGATGTTGCTTTTGTTGTATAAAAATATGGAAGTAAAGATTATATTCCAGATCTACTGAAAATTCCTCTGCAATTGAAATTGCATTGAATGACAGCTCTATTAACTCCTACATGATTGATTTTTCAGTGGTTGTACTTTGTTGTATTGTAATTGTTGGAATTTCTGCTTCTTCAGAACAGTATTCGTCCTCTTCAATCATTTATCAATTGAGCAAAGTACTCAAACAAATAGAACCACATGTGCCACTGCAGCAGAGGCCTGCCCCAGCAGCATCTGGTATTGCCTAAGATGTAACAAATTTCACATGCATCTTTTCTGTGTTCTTTGTTAACTTCATAGTGGCTCCATCTAATATGGGCAAACAATCTATTTCCTACGAAATAGAGTTCTTTCTAAAGTTCTATAATCTTATTCTACGAAATAAAAGACTTTCAAAAGTTGCAGCATTATAATTGCCACAAAATAGAAGTTATTCTAAAGTTCATTTATATCTAAAGTCTAAATATCAATATGTCATTATGTCTAAGTGTAGACATACAAAATCTTTTTCTTTTCAATTCTCTTTAATGTTAAATCTTAGTTAACAGAATACAATAATTTATATTTTGAGCAGAAAGCATATTGATACGGGTTAGGGTTGAACCAAATATAAAGGTTTTTAGAATAACTTCTATTTTGTGGCAATTATAATGCTGCAACTTTTGAAAGTCTTTTATTTCGTTAGAATAAGATTATAGAACTTTAGAAAGAACTCTATTTCGTAGGAAATAGATTGTTTGCCCATATTAGATGGAGCCACTATGAAGTTAACAAAGAACACAGAAAAGATGCATGTGAAATTTGTTACATCTTAGGCAATACCAGATGCTGCTGGGCAGGCCTCTGCTGCAGTGGCACATGTGGTTCTATTTGTTTGAGTACTTTGCTCAATTGATAAATGATTGAAGAGGACGAATACTGTTCTGAAGAAGCGAGAAATTCCAACAATTACAATACAACAAAGTACAACCACTGAAAAATCAATCATGTAGGAGTTAATAGAGCTGTCATTCAATGCAATTTCAATTGCAGAGGAATTTTCAGTAGATCTGGAATATAATCTTTACTTCCATATTTTTATACAACAAAAGCAACATCTAGAGACAGAAAATTAAAGTGCTGAGTAAAGTTAATTGTTAAATGACGCTTCAAGATGTTTATACAAACTTGATTTACTGTATAGAAGGTTGAATATCCAACAACAATATTTTAATATTTACAATGTACTGCTCTATTAACAAACTGAACCACACTTTCGCCATTCATTTGCTTTAAGTTAAGCAATTTCTCTTGATACTCCAAGGGATCCAGATCAAATTCGTCATGGAGGGCTTTTCATATTTCCTCTACAGTAGGCTCTCCATCCAGAGCCAACACCAAATCCTTTGCAGGGCCAGTTAAATAATCTAAAAGACTTGCTTTCACAACATCTTCACCAATCCAACCATAAGCATCACATGCCTGATTAAAGTCTTCCTTGAATTTTGAACACTCCTTGCTTCCATCATGCAACTTGAGAATAGTTCTTTGAGGGCGGTCCCAAGCAGCCCTTAATGCTTGAATTACTGTTGTGATATCAACATTTGGGTTCTGTGCTGCGTGATGTGTTCCATCTCCATGATCTGTTGGAATTGTGATTCGATTTCTTTTCATTTCACTCACCAATCTATCATAGTCTTCAATTAGTCTTTGTTGCCTTTCTGACATTTCTGCTGGCTGAATTGCAATTGTTGGAGTTGGTGGGGTTGAAGGGTTAGAGTCTGTAACTGCCCCAGTGGCATTTCCATTTCCTCCTTCTGCCATATTTACTTTCTCCAGATTTTTGAATAAACCAAAATATTATCCTGTCGACTGTGCCAAATTTGTACTGCTCTTGCTGGCAAAACCTATGCGTTTGCAAGTTATAACAATACTGGTTCTACTCGAACCTTTAAGCAAATGTTTAAATTAAAATGGTTTATTCGCAATGATAATACTTAAGCAAGTAACAATATGAGAGTTCAATAGCAGAGTAGATAGTTTGTAAAAGCAGGTTGCCAAATTACCAAACTGTCTTCCAATGTTGAGGAGTAGATGGATGGTTCCAGTGGAGGTTGTTTCCAGGTTATCTTCCCAGGTCCTTGGATCCAGATGGAAGCCGCATGCAGAATGAGAATAGTGAGGATTTATTTACTCTGAGGTTTGCCTCTAACATCCAATCATCACTTTACAGTTGCTGAAATGTGTAGTTCATATTTATGTTTAGTAACAGGATGTTACAAGGTTGAAGATTTAGGAAGGTTAATTGAATTATAACTTGGCCACACCCTAGGCAAGTTAATTAAATTATAACTTGGCCAAACCTTTATTGGTGATTAAAGATGAGCCTTGAAGCTGACTAATCAGACTTATGTTTGCCCAATGTTATAGCATTTTCTTGCGTAGGTTTTAAGATGGACATGTATAAGTTGCATCAAATAATACAGTTCAACCATGTAAAATATAACCAAAGTTGTACAACAACATTGAAACTTTTCAAAAAGGATTTATTTTATAGAATTCAAAAAGTGCTGACAAAGCCAATTTTACTAATTTAATGTATGAATTATTAAGGATAATACATTCAAACAGGATAAATGAAATATTACTTTTAGCAGCTTTAGTAGATTTGCGATAAAGGCATTGCTGTTGAAAATTAGGTTAAGGCTTAAGAGGTCACAAAGGTCAGCGAAAATCAGGTCAAAAAGGTTTAGTGCTGTTTTCTCTTTATTGTTTACTTAAAAAGAAATGAGTTGGCGGGACTTTTGTAATAGTATTTACACTCTTAATTAGTCTGTTATTCATTGATTTTTTTCTCTATTGATACTTAATGGAAATTGATGATTGTGCTCTTTTCTTAAGGTGCAATTCAAGAGAGATCATATGACATTTCTTATAACGAAACCAATGTAAATAAGTTTTGAATTGCAATAACGATAAGATGATTATTAATTAATATCATTTAGAAAAATTATTTTCATAGCCTTAGCTTTAAAAGTGGTAATAACCATGGCAACAATCGATTGCTGTAGAAAACTTTATAAAGACTTCTTTCCAAAAAAAAAATGTAAAGATTCTCCTGCAAAATGGAAAAGAAGCGAACTGCAATGAAAATTATGACAAAAACTTTCGCCTTCCTTCTATTTCTTTTGGAATACTGCAATACTACAGCAATTTCATTGAGTAGGTTAACTTGTATTCTGGTCGAAGACGGGGACGGAATTCTTATGTTTATCACACGGGTCTTATGCTATTTCCTTTACTTGACATTTCCATTCAACTTTGTTTATAAACAGGCTCAACTTTGATGAAAGGATAGCAAGTGTCAAGGTCGAATGGAGTTCTGGTTTCACTCAGGTAGTAAACCTATCCGATGTTGCTGGCTTTAAAATGTATTGTTTCAAATATACAAATACTCCTGATATAGAATCGGGTTTAAATCTTGTTATAAAAGACGTTTACATTGACGAAACTGTTGGATTTCAATACGTCAATGTCTTTACAAAAGGTATGAATATTCATTAGGGTTTTAGGTTTTAGAGCTATGAGGTTCAAGGTTAAAGGTCAAGGTCAACTGAATGATTGTTCAACAATGGTAATTAGCCTAAAAAATGAAATTTCAATTATATCAACAATTCGGCTGGATGAGATTATTGGCAATAAGAGAATTTCATCAATACACGTAATGAATCCGACAATTGAAAGTAAAATTCTAAGCAACTCTGCTAAATTGATCTCTTGCACTGATTGGACAAATTTTTGGATTGAATTATCAGAGACACTGATAACAATTGGTATGGGTAAAGGCTACGAAACATTCATATTCATAGCATTGAAGTCGCCATTACTCTAGACATAAGACAAATACTAATTAAGAATGGATTAACCAATAGGATTAATCACTTTGCCATAACTGATATCGGTAGGGATAAGATACTTCAATAATTCATTCAGATCTAATCCGTCATTCTTTTCTAGAGGGAAAAAAGGTGAAAAGTTATGATACGCAGTGCAAAAGTCATTCGTATTACGCAACACTTGAAGGTTATCCTTCCACCTGCGTACCTTTAGAGAAAACCACTAATATTATAGAATATACGCTAACGAATGGATATGGAATTAGGAGCAGCGACACCTATTGTAAACTAATATTCCATTTAAAAATGAGATGAATACATAAGGATTCAATTTACAATCTCTTTCAAAAGTAAATTAATTAGATCTTATTGATTTTGTTCCAAAGAGTTTTTGGATTTTTGCCAAGAATAGAGTTGAAGCTCTTAGATTTTAATTTTAAAAGTAGAAGATTCGAATTGAAGCCATTCGTTTATTTTAGTATCAAATACAAAGTACATTAGGGTTAGGTTTACAGAAATTGCTGTTCATCTTGTACACAAAGAAATTATTTAGCATACTGTAAAACTGCAATTCCAATTAATAAAAAGACTATCATTGATTCCTGGGATAGGAATGATTATGAGTCAAGAAAACATACCCTTAAAATGGTATTGAACCCCCCACAAGAACATTCTTTTTTCTCTTTTTCATTCTCAAATCTTTTGGGTAAATATGGATATTGAATTCCAAGTAGGTCGGTATGCGATGGTATTTCGCAATGCATTTTCTATGGATTTATTCAATATTCCCAAATGAACATCTGTTATGATAGGAAATTGAAAAAACAATTAATAAATGAGTGTTCATATGTTACGTAAGTAGTAGGAGAAACCTGGTAAAGAGTATTAGTAAAAAATGATTTTATTTTAGTGAATTATGTGAGATAAAATACGACAGTATGGAAAGATTAATATTCTTTTCTTCAAAACATAAGGGAAAACATGTAAATTGTAATATTCATAAGAAATGTTTATTTTGTCAATACAGATGTAAAACATATCAATATTGCATTGACATCAAATTTGTTTGTGATGAATTGAAACACTGTCCACTTGGTGATGATGAAGTGAATTGTGGTAAGAAAAGGCCTAAAAGTGGTAGGGAGTGGGTTTTACTCAAACAGAAAAACTGTCATTCTGTATAATTTCATCATCTAAACTCTTTTCCTTCCTTCATTTAGCACCTTAGCAAGATTTAAAAAAAGTATGTTATCAACAAAACAGATAGCTTTAGGATGCGACAGAAAACGTCCATAAATTGCTGCTTTTACCCTAGCCCTAACCCAGAGCTTGACTATACCTAACCTTTTCCAATAGCCCTAACCTTAAGGGGAGACCCTCCCATGTAGGAATTAGTTGCTGTCTTCTTCTTCCTGACTATATTTCAATCCAAAATCTAGCCTCAGGGTTAGGGTTATTTGTAAAAGTACTTCATAGGAGATTTAGATTTGAGAGTTGATGAGAAAAAGATTAAGATCATGAGCTCTTCAATAAAAGAATTCCTCTTAATATCAAAACCATATCATAGATTTTTTTTTCTTTTGAAAGATTGTTTTTACAAAAAGTGGAGCCCATATATAAACAAAATGCAAATTAAGCCATTGCTAATTGCCTTACATAAGGTAAAACCTAGATACATTTGTAATCTATTGCTGTTGATTTACTTCTATTTTGGGAAAATATTGTAACAGATCTCCAATTGCTGTTCTTTGTTCCTCATTTAGATCACAATGGACTAAATAAAAACACTTCAAAGTATTTGATGACATTTGAAGTCCTTCAAAAATATTTAATATTCCATTACCCATTCTCTATTCCAAGATAGATTTATTGTTTCTAATCTACAGCAATGCTTTAGTAAAAGTCCAACCTCTGTAGCTTGTTCTTCATTTAAATCACACCTTTCTAAATCGAGATTCTTTAAGGTACTTGATGACATTTTCAGCCCTTCACAAATATGAAATATTCCATTACCAATTTTCTGATTCCAAGATAGATTTATTTGTCTCTATTCTACAACAATTTTGTAACAAGTTTCCAATCTCTCTACTTTGTTCTTCTTTCAAAAAACACAATATAAATTCCAGATTTTTCAGTGTATTTGATGACATTTTCAGCCCTTTGCAAATATTTAATATCTTTTTACCTCTAAGCTCATTCCTTGATATCTTTATTGTTTCTAATATGGAGCAGTGTTTAAGTAAATATCCAATCTTTTCACTTTGCTTTTCATTTAAATTACAGTTCTGTAGATCAAGTTTCTTTAAAGAATTTGAAGACATTTTTTAATCCATCACAAATATTCAATAATCCAATACCCATGTTCCTATTTCCACATAGATTCATTGATTCTATTCTGCAACAATTCTTTAAAAAATTTCCAATCTGTATACTTAGCCTTTCATTTAAATAACACTGTTGAAAATCAATTGTGGTTAAAGTATTAGAGGATTTTTCAAGCTCTTGACAGATATTAAATAATTGATTTTCCATTACCAATTTTTCAAATAGGTTAAACAGTAATCTTTATTATTTAATTTGATGTTTTAGTATTTTAAAGTTTTATCTATATTCTAAAAAAGAGAATTTATCACTTTCAATTTCCAGTTGTTGTTTACATTAAAAACAAAAATCTAGGTCAAAATGAAAGTATATTTTGAAGATTCTTTACTTCAAATCTTAACCTAACTTTGCATTTTCATGTTTATTGACCTTTCCTATCGACGCCATTTTGAAATTGTATTGAAATTTCAAATTTTTGTCTTCATTATCATTTTAACATAAAATTCTTGTTTTCTATTTTGTGGAATGTTTGATATGTAATTAAAAATATGTGAATTTTTAAATTGTTAATGTCTGTGTAAACTTGTTATGATTTAATCAGTAAATATTATAAATGGGTATCTCTAAAACATGGTGAAGACTTAGAAGTATAGATATATTGATATTTGAAAACAATAATAATGGAACATTGCAGATGCATTTGCAAAGCTTGTCAGTCTGTAACCATTATCTAAAGCAGTCAAAGTATACCTTCCTCATCATGATGGTTTCAGTCAAAGAAAGAGTTTGTTTTGAAAAATCAATATTAAAGAGGGAAAATTTGAAGTATTGATGTAAATTCTTTAATTGTTATTTTTTTGGTCCTTTGTTTTCATTGTACATAAAGTCTTTGCCTTTTTTAAAAGCTTTGACCCTTTTTAGATTATGCTTTACCTAACAAGGATACAAGAAAGGATATTAAACAGTAAAAAAGGAAAGAAGTAAGCTTTTCCCTATTAATTAAAGAAGAATGACCCATAGCAACATCAGCAGGAAGTTGACCAACAATATCATCTAAAAGGTATCTATACCAGTTAAACAGACATATAAATATAGTAGTTTTTTTGTGATACTTTCGTAAAAAGCATTAATGAACCTATATTATGATTCCAATTTTAATTAATTACTTCTATCCTAGAACAATTTTTCAACATATTTTCAAATAATTGAAATTGATTTTCAGTTAGATGACAGTTTGAACAGTTTAACTCTCTTAATCTGCTTCATGATTGTGTAAGTCCATCACAAATTTCTAATAATCCATTACCCATATATTTATTCCCACTTAGATAAATTACTTCAATCATAGAACAACTTTTTAGCATATTTCCAAAAATTTTACATTGATTTTCAGTTAGATCACAACAAGAAAAAATTAATTCTCTTAATCTGTTTGATGATTGCTCTAGTGCATTACAAATTTCTAATAATCCATCATCCATCATTTTATTGAAACTTAGATTAATTACTTCAATCTGAGAATAATTTTTCAAAATATTTCTAAACATTTTACATTGATTTTCAGTTAGATCACAAAAAGAAAAGTTTAATTTTCTTAATATGTTTGATGATTGCTCAAGTGCATCACCAATTTCTAGTAATCCATCACCCATATTGTAATTCCCTCTTAGATTAATTACTCCTAGCTGAGGAAACATTTTAAGGATATTTCCAATCATTTTAGATTTATTCTTTGTCAGATTGCAAAAAGAAAAAGTTACAACTCTTAATGTTCTTGAAGAACAGACAAGTGCATCACAAATTTTAAAAATGCAGAAGGAAATAAACATTTCTCTTCTATATTTAAATTTTCCAATTTAGTGCAATTTATTTGCATTTCTTCTTTTTTTATAGATTTATTTTTAGTTTTAAAGAAATTGAGGTGATAAGTATGTAGTGGATGTAAATGTTTGTAGCCACAAGTCATCACCTCTAGACTCTACTTTTTCATATTTTTCATAGCCAATTACATTATCTGTAAAAGATGAAACTGTTTGATTGTAGTAGCTCTCAAAGTGGTAGTTTTTTAAAATACAAACCAAAAACATTTGTTTCACATAGGTCTGCAATTAAATATAGAAAAAGAAAATAGAGTACATCTAAAATTCTCTTTTTGCTCCCCATTAGCGTCTGTTTTAAAACTGGTTTATATTCCAAATATAGATCACTTATAGAGAACAGTAGCATCAGTAAACAAATAATAAGAGTTAAAGAATTGAAGGTTTCACAGAAATGTTATAATTGATAAAAAAAAAACAATTATTCTATATTTTCTATATAAATAATTAATGCTCCTTAAATATAGTTTTGTGTCACAGTGTAAGAAGACATATTGATAACTTTTCTGTTTTTTTTAATAAACAATCCATAAATCATTACTATTGTCACACAAAAACACATCTTTATGTCAGTTTAAATGCAAAGTACAAATGATATTGGCTGGAACAGAGGGGAAGAGACTTTTATGGTCAAGGCAATTTTCTAATCAATGGAACAACAATTCTGTAGAGCAAAGACAAATTAAGAAATATGGAAAAGTATATTTTGAATTGTTAAATTTAAAAAACATTCCAATAGAAAAGTTGACATTTTTTTCATATGTTTTTGCAAATATAAATTATCAATATATGAATTTCTTGTATTTTAGTCTATTGTACTATTCTAATTCAGGTATGGAAGAATAGAAATGATAGCCACTTTAGGATTATTTATTATCTACAAAATAATCCAAAAATGAAATATTCATTTGCTTTTGTCCTTTCATTCCAAAATTGAAATTTGAATAATTATGAATGTACAAGATTGGGAAATTCTCCTGCAGATTGTTTTCAACTTAATTGAATATGGTCTCAATGACAAATTGAGATTTTAACGCTTAGCACAATCTCTTGGAGAAGAGAGTAAATTAGTATTCGAGTGCAGAGCATTTGTATGCAATTTTAAAACCTCTGAATGCTTCCTGAAGAATGAAGGATTATTGGCAGTTGGAACAAACTTTGTTTCTAATGACAATACATATTTTCTCATTGGAGAAATTCCAGATAAATACAAAGTTGCACATATTTTAATTGGAAATTTTGCCAATAATTATTTCTTTACAAAAGATATAAAAGGTTTTGCGAGATATCTGTATAAAGATTTTGATGGATTTGATAGTAGAAGCTATCACTCAATAACTCTAGAATCATATGGATCTAAATGGCAAACCTTAACCCCAAGACTTAACCCTATTTGTCTAACCAGATGTAACATATATGACAGGCAACTTTTCAACATTCTGTTTTCCACAGTAGCTCCGTCTATTTGTTAATTGAACATTTTTTAAGATATGAAAATTGTCAGAGTGCCTATGTCCAATTTTTACTATCAATTTAAATCAAAAACATATAGTTTAGCATTTCCTGTTGGTTATGGAATTATAAATTGTTTACATGGCAGTAATGAACTTTTACGCTTTCAACCAACAATTTATAATGAATTTGCATTCAAAATCTCACCTACAGTCTATTTTGTCACAACAAGCAACTGTTAAATGTAGCTTACAAATTTACAATATTTGATGAGCACATCAAAGGATTGACAATTCTTGGACCATTTCACATTGACTTAAAAAGACAAATATTTTCTTTCATATCAATCCATATTCAAAATACAAAGTTTACGACTATGAAACTTGATTACTTTCCAAATATTGTCATTGTCACTCTTAGGAATACAAGCCTTGCTAGGTGGATAACTTTGAATGTTGCTAATTCATCAAATTTGATTCAGCACATTGATATGTCATACAATCCAATAAGTAATATAGACTTTTTAATTAAATTCAACCATTATTTGCTGAGATTCCTTGATATTTCTTATACAAGAATTACTCAATTACATTCAAACTATTCAATAGAATTGAAAAGTTTAAAGATTTTAAAAATAACTAAAAAGAGAATAAAAGAAATTCAAAAAGAAATATTTATGCATTTGACAAACTTGAAAGAATTGCATATGAATTCAACAGATTTTCCATTTGGACAGGGAAATGCAATTATACACAAATTGGATAAAGTTCAAAAAATATTCAGTATCAGCTTTAATCTGTGCTGTTTAGCTTGGGCCTATATCAAGAATGATATTTCCTGTGTACTACAGCCAATACTTTTCAAGACGTGCTCAACCCTTTAAGGAACAAATTTAAATAAAATTCTCTTTTGGTGTTATGGTTTTGTTGGGTTAGTTGGAAACTGATTAGCTCTATCTATTTTACATATTTATCAGAAGAATAAACTGGTATACCAATCAACATTACTTGTTGGAGACTTGTGTATCTGTCTCTACATTCTCATTATTGCAATAATGGATAGTTATTATGGTAACAATTACCTAGATGAAGATATCAGCTGGAGAAAGGGTTCTTTTTGTAGATATCTTGATAGTCTAATGACATTTGCTGCGACACTGTCATCAATTAGTCTTGTTTTTATTGACAAAAAGATAAAACTACTCTCTGATAGTTTCCAGCAGTAGGCATTTTGGTCCAGGTATTTTTGAACTTTGTGAAGTTGAATCTAACTTTAATCCGAGTCCTTCCTTTACTATTAAAGAATGAATATTTTGTAAAAATTCTCCACTTTCAAAAAAAATTTTCACCCTAAATAGGCTTAAATTTTAACTGTATCCTCTGACAACTATTTCATTTACAATCCTAGAAATCCAAATATTAAGTGCAAAAAATAATGTCCCATTTTATCAGCCTTATCATCACATGTTCAAGGATGCATACCCATAAAACCATGAATATTTTTTTCCAATCAAATCCCATGGCTTCTTTCCACCGATTTTCAGTATTGAAGGAAATATAAACAATTACAGAGTAAACAGTAAAGAACTATATTTGATTTTGGGCATCAACTACACTAATACTATCTTATTGTAAGATTTCAGTTGTCGTGCACTCTTCTTAATGATCAACTTCTATGATATTTTCATTCTCTGGAGCAGTATGCAGGACAATTTGTCAATTGTTGAACACATTGAGCAAAAACCATCTAAAACACTATCCTACTGCAAATTAATATGTTCTGGTAAAGATCACAATCACACTAATATTTAGAGTTTATTGCTTAGTGAGTCTTTGTTGTGAAATTCAAATATCCTCTGAACAGTATCTCACCAATGTTTGTGTGTAAAGCACTATTCTAAATGTTTTTCGACTACTACTTATGCTACTATTGAATTCTCGACATTTCGAATGAAAATCTTTGGTGTGATTGCCATGCATAATGAAGATAATACAATTGAAAAGTGTTCAAAGATTTTCTTCCTGAAAAATGCTGATTGAATACCATGATTTAAAATTATATCAGTTCTCTCAATAGTCAGCAGAAGGATGCTCATTGATGACAAACAAATTGAGAATAGTGCAATCACGCCTATTGCTTGGCAACTAGTGCTGTTTCTCCATACTTCGTCATAATTAACGTAGTCGTTACCATAGTAAATATCCGCTAGTACAATGATAAGAATATAAATTGAGAAGAGAAGATCTCCAATGCTGAGCGTCGTTTCCATCAATTTTCCCAAGATTAACATTTTTTAATATTGCAATTATTAAATTGGGATATTTTTGAAAGTTGAACACTCGAATATCATTTGTTTGAATGATAATTGAAATTAAATCAATTGAATAATCCATATTTGATATTTGAAATATTTCACCAAATAGCGATAGTTTTATTTGAAAAATATTTGATTGTAATTTGGTAATTTCAATGATAGATTTCTCGTTTTGAATGTTTCTTTACATATTGCGTAATTCTCATCTGATTTATGACGACAATCAATCTTATGATCGCAAATATTATCTTGATTAATAATCCTTCCGTCGCAACTAAGTATCGTTTTATCTGAATTGAAGATGGACATCATTCGCTTATGATGGAAATTTTAAATGGACAACTTAAAATATCTCTCATCTTCATTACGTAATCGAGAATTTACAAGAATTTCCATAGTCACCAAGGTAACAATAATGATCTCCATTAGCATATATATGCAAAAGTTATCTATGTAGCATAGATAATGTCCATATGGGGAAAAAGTTCAACTTTGCAGTATAAGTCAGTCATTGTCATTCCTGAAGACGTCTTGAAAACAATAGAAATGAAGGATATTCAATCTCTCCATGCTTTTTCTGCCAACAGGTAATTCTCTCGATCCAAAGTGCACCTGATGAATTATTTAAATAGCATGATGTCAGCAAATGCACTAGCATTTCCTTCTGAAAAGAGAGTGTGTTATTTTAGTATAAATATTTAAATAAGTTATTATTTAGAATACATCTTTAGCGTTCAGTAAACGTTTAAATTTTGTGGCAATCTATGGACTTTCAGAGCGAACAACCAACGTCAAAAAACTCGGCTATGAAGAGAAAACGAGAGAAAAATTGGACAGATTTCTCTAAAGAAACAACATTTCATGGTGTAAAGAATATCTTTGCCAAAGAAACATCATTATTTAGGCGTATTGGATGGGTATTTATTGTTTTTGGAGCAATTTTTCTATTCTGTTATCAAGTTGTAAGAAGAGGAATGGACTATAACAAGAAAGATGTAACAGTAAATGTTGAAGTGATATACTCAAAAAGTCTGGGATTTCCATCAGTTACTGTCTGCAACCAAAATAAATTCAGGTAAATCTAGAAGTCTGCTTAGCCAATACGCTTTGAATAATACATTATTTCATACTTTTCATAGTTTAGTGTTTTATATAAAGTTAGAAATGCTACAGTAACTATTCAATCAAATATTCATAAGGTTCCTTATCTAATATTATAATGAGATACTAATTAAATAATTTATTTCTATAAAAAGGATGAGTAGTACTGTTGAATTGGGTTTATATGAATATATTAGCAACATTTACAACTCTGACTCTAATGAAAATACATCAATCTATGATGCAAACTTGCCTGGAAATCTTATATATGACACAGAATTTGTCTTCAATTACACAGCGCATAGACAATCTAATTTTATATTTGATTGTCAATGGGCAAATAAACCATGTAAATCTGAATACATTTCAAGAACTATTACCGAGTATGGAGTATGTTATACATTCAATTCTCCATCTGCTCTGAATGAAACCAAAGGCATAAGCATTGGTGAATCTGGCATGGCTAATGCCCTCTCTTTTCTATTCAACATTGAGCAATACGAACACATGCCTGGACCCTTTAACAATGCTGGTGTAAAAATAGTCTTACACGACGATTACAAAAAGCCGCTTATAGCGGACTTGGGATTCGCAATTGCGCCTGGAATGCATACACTTGTTGGAATAAAGCGAATTGAATCTTATAAGCTCAGTAATCCATACGGAGAATGTGTGAAATCGGAATATAAATCGCACGCCGAATGTATAGATTACTGTCGGTTAAGCTGGGTAGCGGATATGTGCCACTGTATTCCATTCGAAGCGATTCTCATCCTAGGAAGGGCTATAAAAAATGATAAAAGGTATTGTAATTTATCAGAGACATATGGATGTGTAAGAGCATCATTGGAAAAAGTACAAAATGACAAAAATATACATTGTTCATGTTCTGTTCCTTGTTCACAAATTATTTATGAACCTAATCTCTCATTTTCATCAATATCAGAATTTGCAGCCAATAAGCTATTAAACGGAAATTCAACTGGAATGAATGATTTAAAACAAAAATTTTCAAAAATTTTAGAAATTAAAGAAAGAAGGGTTAAAAGTAATTTTGAAAAAAATACTGCAATAATCTCTCCATTTACAACAAAAATATATTTTGTCTTGCAACGACTCGATGGTCCTTTTAGACAGTTTTTAACTGATCAAGAAGATATTGCATTGTTTAGGGCCATTTTCTTTGATTTATATAAAATTATGATAAACTTTGGAACAATGGCCGAGTCTTTTGATTCTTATCCAATGAGACATATCAGACAACAACTACGTATTAAATCAAATAAGATTTATCAATATAGAACAGGCCTATTTGGACCAGTTTCAATAGAGAAGGAAGAGATGCTGACCAATCTGGAAAACTGTATAAAAGATCTACACAAAATGAATGAAAGTTTGTTTATTATGGATTGCAGTAGATTTATGAAACATTTTAAATTTTCTAAATATAAAATACATTTGAAAGACTTTCGCCTCTTTTGGAGTGTAGCTTTAAAAGATTTTCAAGATCAACTGAGTAGCATAATCCAAGCAGAAACTTTAGAGAAAATGCATATTGAAGAAATAGAAAGAATATTTGGTTTGAATATAAGTAATCCAAAAATACCATTCAATACAATATGTCATCCATTCTATGATAGTCTAGCATTTATGGAAAATTCAATGACATTTCCAACTGTATTTCAAAATGATAGTTATGCTAATATTGGAACAAAGATCAATATTGCTGTTAAAGCATTATTAAGCATGGAGGAGAGTTTATATCAAATTAATTACTTTGATGATTCCTACTGTCTCCTTAACAAAAGAATATTCATTGAGATCGATAATAGAATAAGGGAACTTTTAATTCTTTCAGAAGACATTTCTTTTGAATTAGGAGAATTTCATAAATCAATAAGACCATTTTATGATATTCATCATTTGGTTCTCACTAAAACTCAACAATTTCAATCATACTTACATTTTAATTCCACAATAAAAAAGGCTAATTTATCAAATTCTTTCAGTTTGAGTTGTTTACTTGATAATATTAACAGTTTAATGAATTTCTATGAAAATATACAATCACAAAAGTCAACATTTCAAAATGCAATAGAAAAAGTTTCCAGAAAACTTTCAGTTATTGAAAATTATATTGATTTCATATTTATGTGGCCAATTGCAGTCAAACATCCAGACAATACAGATATTCAATACACTGATGTAAATCAGGTTTATTCAATAATTAATAAGAAGAAAAATGAAAATAATCTCAATCTTAATTGTCCAAAAGAAAGATTGCAGAATTTTTCAGGATATACTTGGAGTACTTGTTTAAAACAATTTACATATGGAATGATTTCACACAATTTTGATTTTCCTAACATTTCTCAACAATCGTTTATTGACGTTTTAAACAAATTCAATGACCTTCAACTTTTTTTGAATGAATTTGATAAAATTTCAAAGGTTGATAAAGATTTCTTCAGGTAAGATTCTAACATTTCTCCTTCTTTGGAAACATTTTATAAACTGGCTATAAGCAGAAGGAATTTTGCAAAAGTTGATGTTTTCTACAAAGAAATGAGCTTTCAGAAGATAATACAACAAGAAAAATTTGCATTTCTCTCTTTCATCTCTGAAATTGGTGGATTTTTAGGTTTGGTTTTAGGCGCTTCTGTCATAACAATTATTGAATTTATTGATTTTTTTGCCCTTAAGGTAATTTTTCACTGATTAAAACTATCTGAAATGATAAATATCTTCTTTTCTCTCTCCTTTCAGCTAACATCAAAAATCTTTAGGAGAATTTGAGAAAACTGAAAATTGAAGGTAGGGACATTTAATTAAAAGATTATTAAACCTTTCACAAACATTCTTTGTCAATTTGCAGTTTTCTAATTCTAAGGGTCAGGGGTAATCAAAAAGGTTAGGGAGTGACAAGGGCTAGGTTAGGGTTAGGGTTAAATCATGCATTGTTTTAATGAATTTAATACATTTTCAAATTCAATACAAACTTTAGCAGAGAGATTATTTTCCCTTAGATTAATACTTTCAAGTTTTTTGCACTTTTTTAAAAGTTTTATTGTCAAAACAACAGTTTCTAAAACTAATTGCCTTCAATGTATTTGATGATTTTTCCAATTCTTTGCATATATGGAATAGTTCATCATTTAAAATTAAATTGGAAGATAAATTGACTTTTTCAATTTTTTAACATTTACTCAATAGTTGTGTTAGCCTATTACAACTTTCATCCATAAAGTCACAATATGAACAATCAATTTCTTTTAAACTTTTTACTGATTTCCTAAGTCCATTACAGATTATAGGCCAAAAATTATCTTGATAAAAAGAATTGATGAAATGTTGATCAAAAAGAAAAAAAAGTTATGTGTTTCATGTTCATCAAAGTAAGGAAAAGATGAAGAGAAATTTACAGTTTTGAAACGCAATGAGTAACGAGATAAGCGTTACAGCGGCTACAAAACATCAATTTTTGTTTAAACGATTGTATTATTCATCACAATTTATTGATTGTTGTAATATTTCTCAAACTCATCAACGGATATCTTATGAATAACTTGGAATACAATTTCCCAATCTCAATAATAGTTTTATATTTTTAATGTTTCAGTCAGTGAAATCTTTGATTTATTCTTTAGCAGGAGTTTTTCTAGTCATTATGCATTTTCCCAATCATTAGGCCTATAATAACAATCCTGCAAAACAACATCGGCTGCAACAAGCCTTCCAGTTTTTACTGTTAGATATATGTATGTTCCTATTCAAATTTAATGATCTCATATAGATTTCTCTTAGGTTACTTGATGATTTTTCTAATCCTTTGCAAAGTTTTATTAATCCGTCGCTCATATTTTCATTCCATATTTCGTCGAAAGGTGACCAGTTGCTACTGATTTTCTAACGCCTTCCCAAATCTCCTGTAGGCCATCATCTCCCATATTTCTAAATGACAACAATTGAAATGAATTCTTTTCAAAGTGTTTACAAACGATTCAACACCTTCGCAAATGCACAATAATCCATTTCCCATATTGAAATTGCCTCCAAAGTGTAAATTTTCAATTCTTTGGCATTTTAATAACAATTTTCCAATATAGAAACATTTGTTGTTCGTTTAAATTACACTTTTCAAAAAACTGTTTAATTATCTTCTATTGTAATGTAATTTGTTTGAAAAGAAAGAAAAAAAACAATGAAAAAATGCTTGCCTTTGACAAATTTTTGCTCATCTCGTATTATTAATTATTGCAGACGGATTGATTATAAAGTAATATTGCAGTTGTGCTATTTAAAGAATTCAACAGGCAGCAGCAGACCTCTTAATGAGGAAAGACGCTCTACAAAATTACTATATTTCATCTATTCTATTTATTATCTCTGCAGGGCAATTGTCTATTCATTAAAAGATGAAATTTGTCATTTAAAAAGCAATTACTCAGCAAATGTATCACAACCGGAAGCTCTACTGGCCATAAAAGGTTTACAATTTGTAGTATTTTATGAATCTGTAGATATTTTGGGAATATTGTTGAAAACGGTCAGCGCGCTCAATTGTAACTTTCTCCAATTTTCTAACCCTTTGGCTTATTTATACAAAATCCAATTCTTTACTTTCTCTCCACTTTTACCTACTTTGGCCGTTTTCAACAGATATTGATATGGTCATTTTTTTTTCTCAATTTAAATATTCATCTAAACGAATCATAGCATAATTAACACTATCCAAAAATGGATGAGAATATAAAGAAAATGTCTTATCTGTTGATAGTCAGGTGTATTTTTTTATACAATGCCCTACAAGCTCTACATCTTTCTATGTTGAATGTTTACAAACATATATCATTTTTAAGTAAAATGAATATGGATTTAAATTAAAAGTTCAAGGTCACTTTTATCTTTTGAATATTTCAAACAGCAATTCAATCAAAGATAATATTCTTGTTCAATCATTGAATCCTTTACGATCTGTTCACGCAAATAATGGAAATTACAGTTTTTCATAAAGAGCAAGAATCTTTGATTCATGATTTAACTGTCAAAGTTAGCAGGCTTGACCTACTTTCGTGTAATTGCACAGCAATCAATTATTAATTTATTATATAACCTTTATGATTGTTTGGCCTTGTATTAAAATCTTAAGACTATCTGTGGACAAACTTAAAATGTTCTATTTGTTTGAGTACTTTGGTAAATTGGTAAATGATTACAAATGACCAATACTGTTGTGACAAACCAGATATTCCTACAATTATAATACAATGTATTGGTAGCCATATTTGATTTTTGAAGGTGAATATAGTTTTTACAGAAAATGAATAATGGCACCTAGTGTGCCTATTCTCCTTTTGTAAAAGCTGTATTGAGAAAATTTTCGCTGAATGGTAAAATAGTTGAAACATGACGCAGATCTGATAAATGTCTTTGAAAAGCTTCTATCTGAAAAGAAAATTTGCAACAATCAGAGAAAAATCCTTGAAGTTTGGAAAAGTTTTGAAAGATCAGAAATCAATGTTGCTCAACAACTGGAAGTTTGTTGTTCAATTTATCATCCATAATGTATCATTATTTCAAGTTGGAAATGTTTTGTAGTTTTTAGTGTTGCTAACCCAGCCTTTGGATGTACCTAACCTTTTCCATTACCCTAACCCTTACAGCAAACCCTCTTAAGTAAAAATTAGTAGTTGTCTTCTTCTTCCTAACAATATTTAAATCCAAAGTCTACCCTTCAAATTCTCATTTGCGGACGTTTTCTATCAACCCCAAGATCTACATACTTCTACTCATCTGCTCACAGAGAAATTTACTAAGGCAAACTACCAGGCTTTTTTATCTTTTGGATAACTGTTGTATAATTGAAGTAATCGGAATAGATTAACAACAGCCAACTGTTGAGTATTAACCCTGACAAAATTGGGATTATTACCCTTATATAATCTATGAATTGTTCAAAAGTTGTTCAAAACGCATACTCTCCGCGCCAAACTAATCTAAGATTTTGTTTGATTATTATTGTTTAATTAATTGTGAATGTAGTGAACGTAATTTGATTTTCAATATACAGTTTATCCTATTAGTCATCTGAAATAGAAAAGGAAATCATTATTTCTCTTTCTCTCTCTCTCTCTTCACAAATTGTGTAACTGAAAACAATGGTTTTGTTTCTTTTTAAAAAAAAAGTAAAATTTTATGATTACTCAACATTTTTCGGTTTCTTTCCTGATAGTAGTTTCAGTAATTTCTATCCTACAAAAGTTTAAATTGAGTAGCGTTACTAGGCCTATCTTGGAAATTGGAACATTGTCAGAAACACTGACAAAGCTATATGTTTCTGAAAAAAGAAATAACAAATTCCATCTATAGTCAATGCACTTAAATATTTGAAAACAACTGACACTTGACTTCTATAGATATATTTTCTTCTTTCCAGAAGATGGTATATAGTATGTATACTTTTCAAACTGACTGTATCATGATTAATTGGCAGTTACAACCCTTTCTATAATCGCAATTTTCGCAATAGAATACAAATGTGTAGTGTTTTCAAGTTTTGTTTGCTATTGCTACTTGTAAACAAACTTTTAGCATTTGTAAGTAAAAATACAATTGCTATCTTATCAATTTTTGTATTGAAATTACCTGTTTCTATATAAAATAAATGCAAGTTCTCAGTATCATAAATTGGAAAGGATTGGTTGTTATTCCTGAAATTATTGAAACTACTCAAATATATGATGTTTTTACATTAAAAATAAAGGAGAAGAAGAGTGATAGTTCATTATTATTAAATGTTATGCATGTTATACAAACGTTGAAAAAGGCTTCTCTTGAAAATTTGTTCAATATTCAATTATGTTAGTATTTTTGCAAATCCCATATTGACAATACAAAGATATACTGACAAACAAACAGTTTTAGGATAAATTCAACACAGTATTTTGTTTATGGTTTAGAGAATGAGAGGAAAGATATGTGTAAAAACAGTGTTTTCAATTTGAAATAATACATCAACTTGCTTAAGACTAGTTCATTCTAAGGTAGACATTTTCTACAAGTATTCCCTTCAACTAACATAAAACAGAAGATTGATTTCCAAGGATTTTTCCCATGTAACAAAGAAGGAATGTTTATAAAATTAATGAATATTCATAGAAAATCATTTCAATATTTGAATAAATTAGCATATTTCTACTTGAACAACTTAATTAATTTATTAATTAAAACTTTAGACCAATTTTATAAGTGTGGATAGTTAATGCCTTCCTTTCTGTGGCAGGAAAAAGTTTGGCAACCCACCACTACAAACTATTTACTCTGACATTGAACTTTGATTTTATTTTTCATTTAAGTGTCTGATTTCGGTTAAAGTTAAAAGTGAAACATATGCTTAAAGGTTGGAGTAGAAGCAGTGCGGTTTATCTTATCTTATGGATAGGCAAATGTTATCTTCTCCTACTCTTTACATATGGATTGATGGAAGAGAGTATGATAGCAAATGACCTTTTTATTTATTTTTGAAACCAACACATTGACATTCAGAGTAGTACTGTATTATCGTTCAGATATTTTCCACTTGTATTACTTTTTCCCATTCCATTCATCGTGGAATTGTTGTAAAAATTGAAGCATATATTGATGTCTATCTTGAGCAATATCCTTACCAGGTTTCGTATTCATTCTATCCTTTAATAGTAATAATTTCTCATAGAAATGATTAATGCTAGGAGCGTTGTTTCTCTTATAAGATTCAACTGTTGTGTATTGAACAGGTTGAATATCCGGATGATAGATAAGACGATTATGATGTCCACCATATGCAAACGTTCTAGCAATTCCAATTGCTCCAATGGCATCCAATCTATCAGCATCTTGTACAATTTGACATTCTAAACTAGGATTATCCGTATCATTCTGATTTAATCCACCTCTAAATGATATTTTATTGTCTGATCATTTTGTCTTTTTTGTAGAAAAGTTTTAACAGGCTCTCCTTTTCTTATAAAAAATGATAGCGAAACTTGTTTAATTGCAAAGTTAATTATTGCGCCAGACTTTCTTAAGGAGTCACATCCCAAAATTATTGCCATATCCAATTTTTCCATTATAATGAAATCTTGTTCCATTATTTCGTAGGAAATAGAGTCTTTGCCCATATTAAATGGAGCCACTATGCATTTAACAAAGGAACAAAGAACACAGAAAAGATGGATGTCACATTTGTTACATCTTAGGCAATACTAAATGCTGCTGGGGCAGGCCTGTGCTGCAGTGGCACATGTTGGCCATGTGGTCTTCATCTCATCATTGTATTCTATATGCGTGATATAATAGTCTTTCATATTTTTGTTACTTGTGGATTATGAGACTGCTATATTTCGCCCTCTTAATCCTTTTACCAATTGAACCCAAGCTTTTGGAAATGTATAAAAGGAAATACATTTCCGCAGCTTATCAGTTCAGTTCTTTAATCATTAGCTGGCTGTGTAAACTTACTTGTTTAGAACTAGAAACTCATTTACTCAATACATGATCTTTGGACGAAATACTGGTGTTTTGTTGTTTAATTTCTACCAAAATTACATTTGTTGATATTGATTGTGGACGAACTTAAATGGTTCTATTAGAACCAGTACTTTGGTGAATTGATAAATGATTGAAGAGGACGAATGCTGTTGTAAAGAAGCAGAAATTACAATACAACAAAGTACAGACACCATTCAAAACAATGATCAATGTCATACTCTCAATACTTATTTTTACTGGAATTGGAATATTATTTTGAAAAGGATACCAAACAGATTGAAAAATGATTGGAATGAGAAAACTTTTAAAGTACATACCTAAAAGGAAACCTCAACAATCAGCTCCTGAACCAGAAGCTATACCTTTACAGACTTACCCAAGGATCTCTAGAGAAGGTGACACAGTTGTAATCACAACTCCTAGACCTTTCTTATCTGTCTTACATGTACGGATTGGCTCTATCAGCAATCTGTCTTCAATGTATTTTTGATTTGTTAGTTTCGACATACAAGAGTATCCATCTAGGTTTTTATATGCATCTGATAAAAGGTTTTGTTTGATGATCATTGTACAACTTTGGTTATATTTTACATGGTTGAACTGTATTATTTGATGCAACTTATACATGTACATCTTAAAACCTATGCAAGAAAATGCTATAACATTGGCCAAACATAAGTCTTATTAGTCAGCTTCAAGGCTCATCTTTAATTATCAATAAAGGTTTGGCCAAGTTATAATTTAATTAACTTGCCTAGGGTGTCGCCAAGTTATAATTCAATTAACCTTCCTAAATGTTCAACCTTGTTACATCCTGTTACTAAACATAAATATGAACTACACATTTTGGCAACTGTAAAGTGATGATTGGATGTCAGAGGCAAACCTCAAAGTATATAAATCCTCACTATTCTCATTCTGCATTGAGCTTCCATCTGGATCCAAGGACCTGGGAAGATCACCTGGAAACAACCTCGACTGGAACCATCCATCTACTCCTCAACATTGGAAGACAGTTTGGTAATTTGGCAGCCTGCTATTACGAACTATCTACTCTGCTATTGAACTCTCATATTGTTACTTGCTTAAGTATTATTATTGCGAATAAACCATTTTATTTTAAACATTTGTTTAAAAGGTTCGAGCAGAATCAGTATTGTTATAACTTGCAAACGCATAAATTTTGCCAGCAAGAGCAGTACATCATAAAGTAAACTGTACTGAAAATGGCTAAATATTTCTTTTATCTTTCCTACTTTTTAGGTAAATTTTTAACTCCAATTCATGTCTTTTCCAATTTGTCACGCCCTTCCAATTGGCAATCAGTCACCAATTCATTTTAGTAAATAATTATAATTCAATTCTTTTCTTGCATACAGACGCTAGTATATTTTACGTTTTAGAAATACCCATTTCCAATATATTCTGATTACAACACCGCGTAATTTCATTGAATTTGATAGTTTAAAAATTTCTTTATTTATCACTTATATATTTCCATAAAGGTAGCCATAAACAATGGGAACAGCACTGACTATGGCAGAAAGTAATAGCGCGTTTTACTTATAAAAGCTATTTTCATTAAATCCTAAACATGAAAATAAAAGTCATTGGGACAAGCCTACTCTTACTTTCTTATCTGAATTAAAGGCTTTTGCTAATCTTGAAAGTTTACTTAGGAAATTGAAATCAGAGTCTCTTTAAAGACAATTCATTCAAGATAGTACTAAATTAAAAGAAAGAAAGCTCTCTGTTAACATTTATTCTCTTTGTGTTTTGTCTAATTATAAGAGCAGTTGTAAAGCTTTCTCCAAGCTAATTAGATAGCCATTGTCTTTTTTGGGAGTATCAACTTTTGACATTTAACAGCACACTGACTTGTATTGAATATAATAAATTATGACTTTTATTAAAAAATTTCCCTTAATTTGTGTTGTGTCAGCTACAGTTTCACTCTTACTGGATAGGATTTCAACCAGGTACAGTTTCATCTGCTCCCACCAGCTAATCTATCTTTATAAAAGGCATTTTAACAAATTTGTCAAATGTGTAAAACATTCATTTTGAGGAACTCAGTTGGGATGAAAATGAAGTTGCAGTCTAGATACAATTTTCATATCTTTATTAGTAACTTAGAAGAAAAAACAGAAAAAAATTCAACAAGACAAACAGTGTGTCAATTTTTAAAAGATGAAATTTGAATTTTGAGTTTTTCTGTACTTAACCTATACATTTCAATCTTTAACTCTTTTTTGGGAAAGCAACATCCAAAACAGTAAACGGAAATTTAATTATTGAACCAGCAATCTAATTTTAAAATGTTAAATACTTTTCAATAAATTGAATTACATGAAATGTTAGAAAGTTACCTTAGCCAAAGTATCTAAAGCAGTTTCAACAACCTTTAATGTAAAAAATAAATAAGCCTCTGTTCTTCAAAAATATTTAAAAAATACAAACATTTCCAGTTGTCTTTAAAGTCGCATCAGCAATCTGTAAAAATAACAATTTACACTTGTATTTCCCTTAAAGTTGAGTACTTACGTGACCAGTTGTATTTATAGCCCTATCAGGCATCTGCTATTGGTGATTAGGGAAGAAGAGAAACATATCAGCATCATTAGTATAAAAAAATGTTACTAAAAAGAGACTTACTGGATCACTTCTAGTAATTGTGAAGGAATTTCCCTAATGATTAATAAAGAAAAATTCAATTGTTTTATTAATTGAATAGAAAGATAGAAGAGGTATGCATAAAATATTATGACCATTTTTTATAGACTTACATTATCATTGTTGCAAAAGGTAATTGTGGAAGTCTAAGAATGAAAAACATTTATACAATGTGGGACAACATTAATAATTAAGTAAATATATGCTTACATCATTGGTGCTTGTTATAGTTGGATTATAACCCTAAGCAAGAAAATAGGAGATTTGTAATTTTTTCACAGATATATTATAGCTTGAACAATAAATAAAAATTACCACAGCAGTAAAATAATCTGGAGGACCTTGTGACGTCATAATCTCTTTTTTTTTCAGTCCTGTGATCTGTAATGGAAAGATCGAAGCGACTGTATGAGTAGGTTAGCTATATATATATATTGATACTGTTATCATATATTCAGTTTTAAGATAAAATATTTGATAAGCCTTATCTTACTGTATTCCACTTGCTAGAATTGAATCAAGTATAAATTTAACTGTACTTTGCTAAAAATAGTTTCATACCAGGATGACTATTAAGGAAATTTCACTTATAAACGTGAATCATTGGGTATATATTTTGCTGAATATCACGACCACTACAAAATTAAATTGATAAATTTTACTAATCTTTCTGTTACACTTGCAATTTTTTAACAGCCATTTCTAATGTTACAGTATTTGATCCAAATGGTTTATGATCTAGATATTGCACCTGAATAGAAATATCAATTACCTCAATCTTTTACATTTTCCTCTGCTGATGAAATGACATTTTGGCTTTTTTAAGACATTCAACATTTTAGGACACTTCAGTATATTTTACAACATTTAGGTCTACTTTGGACCTTAAGATTTCCAATTTAATTATAAAATTTCAATAACGCAGAACAAGGGATTTAGTTTAAGATTAAAATCAATAATATATTTAGCAGTTGGAGATATTCAAAAAAATTATAACAAAACTCAAAATATTTCCAAAGTGATGGATACCAGTTTTCTTTATTCTCAAAGCATGTCTAATTTTTATTTGCAATATTCTTTCTGTGTCTCTCGTTTCATTTTGTAACAACATCTTTACATATCTAGATTTCATTATTAAATTTTTACTAGCAATTCGAATTTTCCATTCAGCATGTTGAATAGTATACAAGAACCATAATAAAAACAATCCATCACTATGGCTTTTTTTGGGGGTCGACAGAAAAGTCCATGAATGAGAAATTTGAAGGATAGATTTTTGATTGAAATATGGTGAGGAAGCAGAATACAGCAATTGAATTCTACTTAGGAGGCTCTCCTCCTAGGGTTAGGGCTATTGGAAAAGGTTAGGTACAACCTAGTGATGGGTTAGGGTTAGGGTTAAAGTAGTCATTTGTTTTTCTGTCGCATCCCTTTTTTTGTTGTAATTAAAATCAGTGAAATTCTATTTTGGGGAAAAGCTGACACCACTTCAGACATTATTTCCTCATTGTTTTATATACACTGTCAATTGGAAGCAAAAAATTATTGGTCCCACTGGGGGTCGAATCCAGGACATTCACACTTTTAGCATGACGCTCTAACCAATTGAGCTATGGAAGCTACGTATTATTGAACATTTATATTAAACACACTAAGATGGAATATATTATATCATTTGTGAAGCAGTTAGCTATTTTCAATAACAATAGAATATTGATTTAAAAAATGAGGTTTTGCTTTCTAGGCTAAAGTTCAATGTAAGGTTTTTGGCATTTATGGTTTTAGGAAAATTTTTATTACAATATTCTTTTGTTTATGTAGGTCTGAACTGAAGGTTAACGAGCATGAAGTGGAAAAAATCCTGTTAACTATTGGATTTTTTTGAATTTTAAAGTGAATACAAAATTAGACAATATTCCCTAATTTCAGGAATTTTTTAGAATAGTTCAAGAGGCAATCTCTCATACTACAATGATTATTTTCTTCAAAGTCAAACTAACGACATCTCTAGGCATAGGACCAAACTATTTTAATTCTCTAAATAAATTAATCAATACATTTTTCATGATTAACTGGTGGTTCTGGACCTAATGCTCTTTCAAATATTGGTGGATCGGATATCTCAAATGAAAATGCCACTAGTTTGTTCATTTTTCCATTTTGTTCATCTCCAAAATGAAAAATCATATCCGGTATTAGTGCACTAGGCCCAGGTTTACAAATTCCAATATACATATTTTTTTCAGATGGTAATAGGTTAAATTGTCCCATATTTCCATAATCTAGAGATAGCCGAAAGATGGCAGCACCAGTACTTTTAATACTGATAAATCCATAGACCCAATTATCATATTTACCAGTATATTTTGTAATATTTTCGTTGTTAAATCTTTGTTTTTTTAATAGTTCAGAATATTTTGGAATATTTCTTTTGTTTGGAAATGTTGTATCAGAATTGTGATTCTCATGTAAGGCAGAATTACAAGCCTTTACTAAGGAGATTGATGAATCTCTTCCCTTGAGAATATCATGAATAGAACTTTCCAAAATTGCTCTTTCAAGTGATTGTTGGCCATAATTTGTTGAAAAAGAAAAACCAGATTTGATTGATCTTATAAGAATATGAGTTGAATGGAAACCAGTTGAATCACCTCCATGTTGATGAAATTCAACACCAGATTGATATCCATTCCAATAGCCTAGACCATAACTTGTTCTGTTACCTAATTCTGGTTTGTTACCTAATAGTTCTGGTATGAAATCATTAAATGATATCTCATTAGCAAATACATGTTCAATCGCTTCTTCTGATAGAATCCTTTTACTGTTCAGGGCAACACCTTTGTTCACAATCATTGCTAACCATTTACGCATATCATTTGCTGTAGAAACAATGGAACCTGATGGTCCAGCCCTGCAAACATTTCTGTGTAATTGAAAAGAATGTCTTGTACAATGCAAAGGTTTATGATAAGAAAAATGAGAACAACAAGAGGAAAAAGTCTCACACCTCCAAACATCAGCTGGATATTTGACAAGGTTGCCATGTGTTCCATTAAAAGAGGGAGCATATGGTGAAACAAAACCATTATAATTGTCTTGTTTATGTTAGAAACCAGAATTTTCCATTCCAATAGGTTTAAAGAAACTATCTTCAATAAGATTTTCCCATTCTTTCCAATTGTTGGCAATCTCTTCAGTAATTTTACCACTCAATACATAAAATAAATTATTATATTGATGTTCAATTCTTGGCGATAAATTTGGTCTTAAAAATCTGATCTTATTCACTATATTGTCTCTATTCTGTCCTCATAAAACCAAAATATAATTGTGTCTAGGAACCCCATTGTATGAGTAAGAAAATCCCTGAGTGTCAAATCATGATAGCTATATCCAGACCAGGCTGTATATCCTGACCATAATTCCTTAACTTTTGTATTGATGCTTAATCTGAAAGAAAAGTGGTATCTTAATAGTTTTAACTTGGAAAATTTTCTCCTTATTGTTTCTCTGTTAGTAATTTCACTACTACTAGTGTGAAAGCTCTTAGTGATTGAGGCAATAGGAAATTTGGTATTAGATGTAACAGATTCATTCCTCCTTACATTAGCCAAACCATAACCTTTAGTTAAAATAATGCTTTCCATTTCTGACAACTGCTAAATTGGCTCCAATAAATTTTCTACATTTTACAAGACCACCAACATATTCATCTATTCTGTTGGCAATTTGTTTGTTAGTTAAAATTTTTGGATTACTTGAACAAAAAACAAGAAAAAACGAAAGAAAAAGCCGAATATGTTTTAATTCCATAGTCTCGTAATTATATATTGATAAATGAAATTATACTATCAATTTCATTAATCAGTTAAAGAGATTAACTATTGACTCATTTTCTTATTTTTTTTAGATTTCAAAACATCAGAGATAATGATAAGAAAGATTGATAAAAGATTACATAATTATACAGAGTTTATTTGGCTGTATTTAAGTAATAGTACAGAGAGGGAGAAAGAGAGAAAGGGAAGAAGAAGATGGAAAGAGAAAGAGAAAGAGCGAGAGAAGGGGCGGGAGAAAAAGAGGGAGAGGAGAAAAAGACAGTGACGTAGGCAAAGGCAGAGGCCGAGGAAGAGAGACAGAGAAAGAAGGAGATAGAGCAACAGAGAGAAAGGGTTAGGGTTTGGGTAAAGCCATATATTTGGACGCATGTCCCATTAAATTTCTTGTGTCCAAACGGAAATTCAGTGCTTATTAAATCTACTTTTGATAGTTTAGGATTATGATTTTATGATTACGCCATCAACAAAGTAGGTCATCCAACAAATATTCATTGAATGAATATTAATAAAAAAAAAAGGATTTTGTTCGGATACTTCAATAATGCGTGTGTTTCAAGTATTGGTTTCTTTAACTAGGTCAAAAAAATAGCCTTCAAATATTGATCTTTTGTTCTACAGACAATATAGAACATACAATTTCTTTTGGATATATTTAAAAAATGCATTACTCATCTCCAAAAAACGGGAAAAATATCCTCATATCATTTAAGAATGCTAAAAATGATCATAGGAAGTATTGCAACAAAATTCAATTGCCGCCCAGCCACAGTTCATCAACATAAAGAACAAATTAAAAGAGTGAGGGATGGAGTTTTGCGACAAACGTAATATCCAGATTAAACCCAAAACGAACAGCCAGAGAAGTTTTAGAAAATTCTGTAAAGTTGCTGCTGAGTCAGCAATTTCTCTTCTTTTATCTAGCGAACGCTAAATCGATTGGAAAAAATATCCGGAATATTTAAAAAAAATGTATAAACAAAACTAAAATTTAATTTGCAATTATATTCATGTTTGCAATCCTTTCACAAAATACAATTATATTTTAATAGACAATAGATAACATACTGCATAAACCAACATGTTACTAACAACACTAAGATCTCTGTCTATCTTTCTCTCTAGGACATGTGAAAAGTTGTAGACATTTTCATTCTGATTTTATATAAAAAGTACTCAAAGTTTGAATTAACACCCTGACAATATACGGATGAAGACCATTTATCATTGGGATCAACTATTACGAATACTTTGCCAAACGCATAAAATAAGAAATGATAAATTACTGTAAAAAATGATATTATGCAAACACAAACAATTTTCGCCCGGAACTTGCTTGATATAGTCTTAGATTTTGTTGGAAAAAGTACATGAATACTCCTATCTATAGTCATAGCTGCTACTAACCAACTAGCTATATGTCCACTCCAAAATGTGAAATAAATGGAGAATGAACAAAAGAAATATTTCAAAACTGATTGACTTACAGTAAAAAAGCCGTGAAGTGATCTTAAATTGAACACTATGTTTGAAAATAATGTTAAAGTGTCAAAATCTGATAGATATCTTACAAATAATGATAATGTTGTTTTATTCACTGATGGTCTGCTGAAAACCAAAAAGCTAAGAATATTTCCAACTGTTCCAAAAACCAAGAAAATCGATTGCAAAATATATATTGAGATAGTTAGTGCCCTAGCCTCAGGGAATAGGGAACCAGTCTCCAAAGCAGAGTTGGTAACATTGTCCATGCTTTTCTTCCTTTTCCTTGATTTTTTCAATGAGTTTAGACGTTGAGTGGCAATAGAGAGAGTTGGAAAGTTTAAATACGCTATTTCTATATATATATATATATATGAATAGATAAATATAGAAGATAACACGTACAATGTTCAAAGAGACTTTTATGAAAAGAGATCTTTTTCATTTGAAAAACATTAGAAATTATTTTTCAATTCAAGTTAGAAAAAGACAACAAAAGATAGAGACCACTCCCAATTATAATTTCTCTTTTATCTTTAATAGAAGTTTATGTAAAGTACAATAGTTTTTTGGAGTTATTTAATTAAATATTTCGATTTATGTACTTTGTTTTATACTTTTGTAGAGTTTGTCCTTTCAAAATCATTTAACCAATCTGACAGACAAAGGTCAGGATGATTTTGCACTTAGAAATGTTAAAAGGCTTTCAACTATAAATAAAATGTGTTTTTTTCTGCCAATTACTCAACTCTTCTAAAGCTGTTGTTCTAATTATACTCAGTTTAAACTAATCAGTAGTTTTGTGTATTTCACACCAGTGTGATGTCAAAGTTTTCAAAGTTTCATAACAAACAAGATTATAAAATATTCAATGTACAGTAAGATTGAACATCATAATCCCATCATCTATTTTATAATAATTACAACTGTGGAATTTTAGAAAGAGTTTTAGTTTTTTGAATGACAGATGGCGCTACTATGCTGATGGCAAAAGAAACATGTTCTGGCTAAATTCCCATATGAAATGCAATATCCTCAACTCTTAGCTTTTCATATCCAGATGTCACTGATGCTTGCATTATTTGTCATTGATTTTGAAGCTACTAATGCTGATTGTGTAGCAGTTTTTCCTACATATGACTACAAATTTTTGAAGAATTCAATGTATCAATTTCTTGTAGTATCTCTTAATCATAGGTGCATTAAGGGTGTTATTCTTTAATGAAAATGTACAAATGTTGATTAAAATTCAAGATAATTTATTTATAAAAAATAGGTAAATGACAAAACTTTGGCTGAACATCATTGTGTTTTAATACTATATGTCTTAAAGTTGTTGATTTTTGTATCAGTTTCCTTAAGCATGTACCATATGTAAATATATCTGATTTGTCAATGGATTCTTCCAGAGTTTAGAGTTCATTTACAAATAGAACACAAACATTTCTACCATTTTTCATTTTCTAGAGAGAGATAGAGTGTGTGAATGAAAAATAAGATTTGGCAACAAATAACATACCTTTAATGATATTGTATCAAAAGATATATTATTATTAGTGGAAAATTTCCATTTATGGCAAAATGAGATTGCTGTTATTATGGGTTTTGCTATAATCAAAATATTTCCAGTAGTAAAAATGAATAAATTATTTTTGTACTCTTCCAGTGAAACAATTGAATTGTCATCATTTGATAAAAAATGGTGATTTAATCCATTTACAACTTAAAATATTCCATATAGAAATTCAGGGTCTTTACCATTCAACACAGTATATGCACAAATGATGTTTTGTACATTTTTTGAATATATTGGTGTTATTATTAATTTCTAATAATTCATAATTAGAGTAATTGTTGAAAATTGCAATAACATTCTTTTCAACTTTTAGGGAAACAGTTGTTTTCGTAAATTGAACTTTTGAGCAAAGATTTCTTTCAATTTTATCATTTTTCATAAATATTTTAAAAGTTTTATTTAAATCTCTTAAAACTAAGTAAAAGGTAGAAGAAGTGAATAAAATACTTTTGGTTGGAATAGCAAATAGATCCGTGGAAGAAATCATCTATGAAAAAGTGAGAAAGTAAGAATATAAAAATCCAAAATGGCTGACTAGTTTTATAGCACTTTGAACAGAATATTTCATTTCCATCTTCATCTGAATGATTAACATAAAGTTTATATCTACAATTTTTTTAGGTATTATTTTCTTTTTTTAAAGAAGGAAAATGAAGAGAAGCTGTTAAAAATGACCATTTCTTTACCCACTGCTATAACTCAGCAGGGTTAGAATAATAAAATGACAAAAAGAAACAATTGTGGCCATTTTCATCAATACACCAGATTTGTATACATACACACTAATATTAACTGAAATGTCAGTTACAAAAGCTGTGTTTTTGTCCTCTGTAAACAAAGAATATAATGTAACAGTTATATTTTATATATTGAAAAGGTTTTCCAACTTGTTTCCTCACAAAAATACGCAACGCTATCAGTGTTATCATAGCCCATTGAAGAGCAAAGTTTAGTTGTATT